GCCTAGTGAAGTTCCCCAATGTCTCAACCGTACCCGCATCCATTGTATACAAAAGTGCATATTAGTGTAGAAGTAGTGAAGTAGACTAAGAAGATTTCATAGTGATGAGGATTCAGGAGATCTTTGTAGATCTTCAGTTAATTCATTGTGCATTTTGCCCTCAACTACACACGCTTCCTCCCGCAGTGCTACAACGATGATGTATCGAACGTTTTTGTCCACGATGAGGAAGGATGCGATGGCGATGAAGAACCCACGGTAACCAAGCGTCCGCGTCGACCAAACCCAATTCAAGCTGAGCCACCAATTCGATCGGGGCTTTCCCACACTTCGCTTGCTGGGGAAGCGTTTGATTTTGGGAAAATTTCCAAACCCTCCGTCGTCGATATCCTCGTCTGCTTCGTCGATGTCGTTCCGAAACCCCGAAACGCCGTCGAAGCTTGGACACATTAATCCAACAAGCACAGAACGAACAACCTGCAGGCAACGACATTCCATCACTTGTGGTGATGATGGAGGAGCGTGCCCAAAAACGGCAAGCAATGCAGGACACACGAGAGCAACAACGGGAAGATGAACATCAACGCCTGCGCGATGAACGGGAAGAACGAGACTATCAACGTCAAATTGTTCGAGAAGAGCGCGAGGAGCGCTTACGTCGTGAAGAGTATGAACGCGATCAAAAACAACGACGTGAGGACAACGATAACAGAGTCCGCCAAGAACAATTTCAAATGGCTATGACGATGAAGTTATTTGGTAATAACTCCAAGCGTCAAGAACAATATTTGTTTTTTAATTCAGAACAATTTGTAACTAGAAATACATTCTTATCTGTGAATTCAAAAAAATTCAAACTTGAAATACATTATTAACCTGGCTTATTCCTGTCTGGCGCACCCGATAGTTGTACAAACGGAAAATGTTCTGTAAACGGCGACCGCGCAACGTTGGATCGTAAGGCAATTTTAAATCTAATTGGCGGTACACCTTGACCGCAGATCCCATTCCCCATTCGGCAGCCTGTCGTAACGATGTAATCGAATCGCTCATGGCCTGTAGTCCTAACCGACAATCCGGAGGTACACTTGCGAGATAACCTTGTTTAATTGGCGTCACGATTCTTCTAGCACATCGCCCACTGATTGGGAACCCGGAATCGGATGCGACTTTCATTCCTGGAGCACAAAATCTGGGGTCTGCAAGGCGGTCCTGAAGGCCGCGACTCATCTCCCCATCATTCCAGGACCCGGACAATTGAGGCGTCCCCAGATCATTATCCTGTCATCACCGTAGCATAATACACCCGTCATGAAGACGGAATGTAGACAACCTAGCACACATATAGGAATCATATTAAGATCATATTTAAGATATATATATATATATAATTATACCATTGTACAGAGCATTTTGTAAATCCGACGACGACGGCTCCCGAACAGGGAGATTTTTCCCATCCACGAACGCAAAAACTCCCGTAACAAGCGGCTCTCGGGCTTCCGTTGCCTGAGCCCAAACCACTTGCTGATCAAACGTGGGTCAACGAATCGCTGCGTCGGGCATCGCCTTCAACGCAAGAGACAACGCTTTTTCAGCTTTTGCCAAAACGTGGGCACACGTCGCGGGTGGGACTGCGAATAACTCACACATTGTCTTTGCTTCGGTCGCATGGGTGTAGAAATGCAACACCATTGCAAGCACGCAGTGTTTGAACTGTACCCACGCAGGGCCACGACGACCAAAGCCAGTCTGAACTGTGTAGTGCGGACTGAAAACGGCAAGCAGGTTGTCGAAGGTGTCGGGTGGAATTGAAACCGCTGCAATGAACGACATCGTGTGACGGCTGTAATACATATTGTACCAAGGACTGTCAAGTTGGTCGTCTAAGAGGGCCAATGAATGTAGAAGTTGCGTTCACGAAGCAAAGATATGATACGACACAAGAGCAAGAGTCGTATGATGCGGCGTCGCTTCGTCGCCCCCGGTGCGCAGTAGAGCAGTAGCACGCTGGTAACCGCACACATGACACATGTGGGATGAGCAAATAAAACCAACGAAACGGCTCTATTGAATATAAAATCTAAGTATATTTTTGGTGAGCTTGCAAAATAAATTCATGCTTACACTCAGTCTGAGGAGGCGCTCAGACTTGAATAAAGACATGTCTGAGGCAATTTCGGTAGTCCTCCACTGGGGTAGGCGATAGTACAACCAACCGGGGAAAAAGACGATAAACCTTTAGGGCCACTCTGGCTGCCACAAGAAATGTCAGAAAGCACCACTTTGTGTAATTTTTCAGAAATATTATGATAATTTTTCAAACGACAGCTTTTGTGTGTTTGGCTACCAAATCTGACATATATAAAGTGGTATAATACGTCGACTTAGTACTGCGTTTTTTACAGAAAAAAGTTTGAGCTGCAACTGTCCATTTCGTACCATCATGATTTATTCTATCGATAGTTCTCCTTCCATCATGACATCCAGAGGTCCCATCAAAATATTTTGAAAATATTTTCTCACCTCCCATTTGAAACGGGAATTCTCTGTCAGAATATTATTTGACATTAAATGTTTCTGTGGCATCCAGACTCGGCCTTATAAAAAAATTCAACAAGAGATATCCGAGCTATCAAGACTACAAGTAGTAGAACTATCAATTGTTCAGCTCAGATTGTGAAAGATAGTTGGATGGCTATGCATGTGTTTGGAGGTATAAGACGTTTAATTTGCGATACTGTACTGTAGTCAATCGTTGGAACAAAGGTGGGTTGGATGCACTGTGAGATTCTGTCACGACAACGGGCCATGTATTGAAAAGGGAATTGTAACGCATGGACCCACCAATGTACTCCTAAAACTTCGACTTATATGTCCTGTATATGTCACTCGTCCGGCTACTGCTTCAGTACTACTTTGAAGTACTGTAGTATACTACGTAGTATTATTATGCATCGAATGATGTTCCATCTATTTCGCTTTTAAATGAATATCAAGTAAATCACAAGTCGTGTTGGCCTTGGATAAATCATCGATATATGACTCGATAAGATTCTGTGAACAATCTTAAACCATCCAGCTAGAGTTTGTTCTACGGTCTTACCGAAAACTTGGGTGACATGTATGAGCGTGCGCAGAGGAAGACGCAGGAGATGGTAGAATCAAGAATGAACTCAACCATTGATCTAATACCTTGGTTGCGCAAGAGGACATGTTGGTATGCGAAAGGACACCTTGGACTGAAGAGGTGTCGACTAGTTGGGAACCGGATGATGGTCACGGTTACACCCTACCCTACTTAAGACAGAACGTGCCATCATCACGTGGTCAGAAATGAGAGGGAACTGTGACGTGACAGTTGAGATTGGAGATGGCAGACGAAGGCAAGAAGCGCAAGGCGAGCGAAATCGCCGAGGATGCCGACGACAGCGTGGAAAAGGCCGAAGCACCGGCGCAGCAAGTGGAGGTAGTGGACCTCACAACCGAGTCAGATGACGACGACGGAGTGGCGCCGAGCGAGGATGCGGCCGAAATGGCGTAGCGCAAGGCCGACTGGAGGCCAAGGCGGCCGTGAAGCGCGAACGGGTTGGACAGCTGGAGCAGCAAGCGGCTGCAGACTTGGTAAAAACGCCATGTAGACTGGGGGCGCCGAAGGTGTGCAGAAGCTGCTCGAGCAGCACTTGGCACGGGAGGAGGCCGCCAAGAAGGCAAGAGCGGCCGAGGAGGTGAAGGCGAAGACAAAGCGCGCCAAAGAGGCCAAAGCGATCGCAGCGGCTGCTGCGAAAGGGGCTGACGAAACAGCCATGGAGGCTGCAGAAGCAGCAAGTAGGACACGAAATGGTCATCCGTACAAAAATCCGGTTATGATTTCGTCCTGGTTGAATTTTTTGTCTCGGTATTTTCCCCGAACAGGCTCTCAAGCTATGTTTCATCATTGCAAAGTTCGATCCGCCCCACGTCCACAGTCCAGCGCTCCAGGCGCTCCCGAGAGCGATCCCAGTGGAACCCCAACTCTCGCTTGAACACTTCATCCGGTCCGCTCCGACCCAAGTTCGGCTTTCACTATGGACACCGTCTTTACGGCGGCTCCCTTGCCGCTCGCCTTTCCTTCCTTTCCCCGACGCCTGTAGCGTTGGGATGTCCCCCATCACCTAATGGTGTCCCAGTCACACCTTCGCTGGCCGCCTTACTTGCTAGGGAAGAGTTCTGGTTTATTCGTGGTTGTGTCATGGTGAGTGGTGATGCGTGTGGCTGTCCAGTTGGCGGTGGCAACGGTGCATGTGGCTGCATTTCGTGTGCTGTGTGGCTACCCACATTGTGGCAACAGTCGAGCTCGTACCTGTCCTCCGGGTGATGTGTGGCTGTCCTTCTGGTGGTGTGTGTGGCTGTTCTCTGAGTGGTGTGTGTGGATGTCCTCTTGGTGGCCTGTGTGGCTGTCCTCCGGGTGGTGTGTGTGGCTGTTTACATTGTGGCACTGTTGTGTGTGGCAGCCGTTCTGATGGGGGTACATGTGGCCGTCGAGACGTTTATGATGTTTTGGCTGGAAGCATTGCTGCGGCAGCTGTGTGCATGGCCATGTCATCTGTGACCCGCACGCAGAAGTACAATTTGCTGACCGTGACAGATATTGATTTCCAAGCAGTCTTAGTCGATCCAGTGTACTACCGATGATTTATGGACACTTTACGTTGTAATCAAGAGTCCTTTGTCGAGCTATGTGAGTACTGCGGGTGGAAATGGCGCAATGCAGTCTCGACAATTACACCAAATCCCACTCGTACGAAATAAAGGTGGATGTTGTGCTCTACTTTCTGGGGTCCCAAGGTGGTCCACCACAGGTTCATCGTCGCGTTGACTCGCTTTGCGACTCATCCCGTCAATTCAATTGTGAGTGTCTTGTATCCGGAATCCGCATGCGTCGTGGTTGGCCCATGCTGCCCACAAACCGACACGGGGAGTCTCTGTTCGATATCGCAAAACCCAGACGAAATTCAACCAAGACACATCCGGATTCCGGTTGCGTCTCGGTAATTGCAGTTCAATCCACAAATCAGATTGCGTTCCATCATGGTTTTTCGTCTCGGTATTTTCCCGAACAGGCTCTGAGTACCTTGTACCTTGTACCTTGTAGCGTTTGTGTGGACGCTTGTCGGACAAGGCAGCGGGTGGCATGTGCAGTTGCCGCTGACAGTAGTCAATTCGCTGTCCAATTTCGCCGGGGTGCGGCGACAGAAGCATGGGCATTTGGACGCTCGGTCTGTCGCACGGATCGCCGCCCGCGTAAATATGCGGCGCAAACCTGAGGTAAGTGTTGCTTGATGTTGTAATCCTCTAAATACCAAGTTGTAGTTGAACCGACTCGCACAGCGAACAGCCGACCCGGCGCTGTCCATCGCGATCCCACGATCCCACGATCGCGCTCGCGTGGGCGATCGGCGGTGCCAGGGCGCTCACCTCCTCGGGGTCAAGCGACGATGTCGGCGGCGGCGCAAGTGCAAGGGGCGCGGTTGACGCCAAGCGGGTTTTCGGTGCTACCTGCGAGCGCCTGGTCGAGCGTATGGGCTTCGACGACGGAGCGGCGTCCGCGCCGTTCAGCATGTCCCGGACGGGGAGGGCAACAACGTATTTCGACGCACGGTCGACACAAACCATAATGCCGGTGTTGCTGCGGGCGTCGCGCGGCTGGACAAACATCAAATCCATGCTGACGGACGACCAAAGTTCGTTGGGAATAGGCAAGGGTTGGAACGGTGCCCGAGAAGATGTGGTGATCTTAGTGCGCTGGCAAGCGTCGCAGTAAGCGACGTAGCGAACAACAGATTTGTACATGCGGGGCTACCAGTACGAACGCGCCAAGACCGCGTGCATTTTGTCGCGGTCAAAATGGCCGCCACTGGGGCAGTCGTGGTACGACCGAAGGAGAGTGAGGCGCAGCTGCGCGTCGCCGGGCACGATAATTGCGCGGGGGCGAGTCCGCGGTGGGTTGGAACATCAAAATTCCATCGGCTAGTGTAAGGCCGACGAAGCGCGGCGGGGTTTGGGGGAAACGTTGGGGGAAACGGGGTCGGTGAGCGCCGCCAGGCGCGACGAGCAGTCAGCGTCAAAGACGAAACCCGATCATGAAAACCGGACGTCAAAAGACCGATCGTGGTCAGTTCGAGATCAGGACACCGAGACAGGGCGTCGGCCAGGATGTTGTCCTTCCCGGGCTTGTACTGAACCGAAAATGTGAATTCGGTGAAGAACGAAATCCAGCGCGCCATGCGCTGCGAAAGGTGCGGTGTGTTCGTTGCCGTGCGTAATGACGCATGCTCGGTGTAAACCACGAAGGGTTTACCGCCGAGGAGGTAGATGCGGAACTTGGTTAGGGCCTACTTCATGGAGAGAAGTTCCAAATCCTGGACTGGGTACGCCCGCTCAGCCGCGTGAAGTTGGCGGCTTTGGTAGGAAACCGGGCGTGGGCGACCGGAGGCGTCGAGCTGCATCAGGCAGCAGCCAATTGCGAACTGCGAGGTGTCGCAGACGACGGAGAAAGGTTTGTCGAATCCCAAACCCAAGGAGCGTCCTTGAGGAGAAGCCGAAACACCAGCTGGGCGATGTCCGCAAAGTTTTGCGAGTATTTGTGGAGGTACGTCGCAAGGCCCAGCAAGCGACGAAGATCCTTGACGGAGGAGGGAATTGGTCACTCCGAAATGGCCTTGATCTTTTCGGGATCAGCCCTACATCCGTTTACCCCCACCAAATCTCCCAGGACCGGGATTTTGTCGACGCCAAACATGCATTTGGCGAGGTTGGCATAGAGTCCGTTGGCACGGAGGACTTCAAACACCTAGCGGAGGTGGCCGCGGTGAACGTCAAGATCGGGCTGCTCGGCTTTGAACGTAAATGTCGTCGAAGTACGACGGTGCGAAGTCGCGAAACCCGAGGAACTTCGCGGTGACCATGCGGTTGAACGTCGCCGGGCGTTGGAGAGACCCTGTGGCATGACCAGCCACTCCCATAACATGCCACTCGGCGTAGAAAAACTGCCGTTTTAGGGACGTCACATAGATGCATCAGGATCTGGCAAAAGCCATCGCGGAGGTCGATGGTGGAGAAAATGGTAGATCGACCCATGCCGTCGATAATAACGTCCTTGAGAGGAATCGGCGTCTGAGCCGGAATCGTGGCTGCGTTCAATTTGTTAAAGGCGTGGACAATACGCCATTTCCCCCCGGGCTTCTTCACACAGAAGGTCGGGCTGCTGTGCGGGGAAATGCTCTCGCGGACGTGACCCGCCGCCTTTCGGGCCGCGAAGAAGGCGTCCATGGCGTCGACTTGGTCACGAGGAAGCGGCCATTGCCGCGTGACGCAATACTTAGCGCCGGACACGAGGTCAATCTCGTGTTGAACGCCCTTATCGATGGGGAGTCGGCAGGGCACATCGTCGGGGAAGACGTCCTCAAACTCTTTGAGGAGGTCGTAATAGGGGCTGGATCGCAGGGAGTCCCACGTCTGGGACTTCAGAGGAGCGGCGAGGGCCGAATAATCTGCGGTCGAGGTCGAAAAGAGATCCGTCTCTTCTTCGACAGTGATCATCGCCAAGGCGGCGATATCGTGGGCGCGGAGAGATTCCACGAGCGAGTGGAAGCTCATCTCTGGCAGTGCCAGGATCTCGGAAGACGTCCAAGGGAGTTCGTTCAAGTTACACGTTTCTTCGATAAACGTGGCCGCCAAGGTCGAGGCAGCTATCGGGGGCGATAGCGGAGCCTCACCGATGACAACAGAGGGCGACTCTGTTGGGGGAACGAAAGAGGGTTCGTGAGTACCGTGGCTGGGTCCGTTGGGGACGCGGGCACTGGGGCCAGCAAGCGTGCTGCGGGGTTAGGAGAGGCGAGATCATTACTCATCGCCTCTAACGGAGGACCAAGCGGGTTGGTGGTGGACGGGGGAAGGCGATCGGCAGCCCGCCGATGAATCCAGGGTTGGCTCGCGTTGAGCCAAGTAACCTTGTGCACGGATTTGGCCTCCAATCAATCCATGGCTTGTGGGACTCCAGCCAGGACATCCCGATGATGAGATCCCATCTCTCATCGAGGTCGATAACATTGAACGGTTCGACCGAGTCGAAACCGTCGAAGGTGATGGGAACGTCGACGATAATGCGTGGTTGAGACGCAGTGTGGCCGTCGGCCATCTTGACGCGAACCCTGTCGGAGGGATCCGAAGAAGGTAAGCCGTTGAAGCGATAGAGAGTGGAGCGGCTGGCGTAGTTGTTCCACGCCCCACAATCGATTAAAACAGAGAGCCTGGCCGGAAAGACAGTCACGACAAGTTCCAAACGAATCATTTTGTTGAGTTGGAGCCCAACACTACACAGAAGAAGGTCTGTGTCCGAGGCTAGGTCTTGAGAGTGTTTCAGCGCGCCACACACCTCCAAAGGACATAGGGAATCCCCAGTAGGCGCGAGGCGACATACTGGGAGCGACCATTTCCCGCCGCACTCGAGCCTGGAGCGGGGAGGAAAGGTGGGCGTGAGGCGCCATGGCGTTCGCGATTGAAGCGGTTAGGTGGACCGCTCGGAGGGGTGACGCGAGTGGGTATCTGGCTGGCGCGGCACGGGAGGAACCGTGTGAGGTAGGCGCGGCTGACGCCACACGGCGAGGTGCCGGACATGCGCGGGAAAAGTGTCCAGGGTGACCGCAATTGAAACACGTGCGGTCGTCCGATGGCTGGGTAAGCATGGAGACATCCATGTCCGAGGAAGCCGCGCGTGCGTGCGCAAAGGAGGAGGAAAATGATTCCGAAAGCGCGATTCGGACGGCTGCTTCGAAGGTGTCCGGGTAGGCGCGAAACAGCTGTGTGCGCGCTGGGCCTTGGTTGAGACCGTCCATGAAAACGGTCACCCATAGGGGCTCCGGGAGTGACTCTTCATCGTTGATGTTCGCAGCAAAGAAGCGAAGATCATGGATGAACTCTTGAAGGGAGTGTTTCCCTTGCTTGTATGCCAGATACTGCGAGCGATAACGAAAAGCTGTTGGGCGGCAGGAACATTGCCTTGAGTTCGGTCTCAAAGACCGTGAAGGACGCGAAGCAGTGGCGGTCCGTCAAGCGTTTGGAGAACGCCCAATCTTCCGCATGACCCTTCAAGTGCGACATCGCGAAAGCCACGCGGGTGGCGTCGTCGGGGATACGCTGAGCGTCAGCAGCAGTGCTGACTTGTAAAAGCCAGCGGAGCAGTATGTCAGACTCCGCTCCACCGAATTTGGCAACATCCAGCTTGATCGACTTCAGACGAGAAGCCGATGGCGTTTCCGACTCTAAAGGGCGCGTGAGGCGCGCAATCTCATCGTGAGCGATGCGCAGAATCTTGGAGGGTACGACCATGTGTCGTCATGGTGGAGGCTTCCTCTTCTAAGGTCGCGATTTTCTCGCGAGCGACGCGGAGAGAATCTTCAAGGTTTCGCCCATGCGAAGACATTTGAGTGACTTGCTCTTCCAATGTCTTCTAGACGGCCGTAGCTTCGGCCACCGAGAGTTCGATCGTGCTACCGATGCCTTCCACAATACGTGTTTGGTTATCGGGAGGCATCCCGCCAAGGAGTAGCGCGGTATCGTTGTCGCCAAAACCGCGACGCAAAAGGGCGAGGATCGCCTGGTGGGCTGCGATGTTGGTGGAGGACATAGTGTTGGTCGACTGGACGAACGTGCAGTGCTACCAAGTGTGAACGTGCGCAGAGGAAGTCGCAGGAGATGGTTGAATCAAGAATGAATTGATAGCGTTAAGACTACTACGCTATCACTAAGCTACGCGCAACCAACCATTGATGTATCGTCGGGAGAACACCTTGGTTGCGCAAGTGGACATGTTTGTATGCGAAAGGACACCTTGGACTGAAGAGGTATCGACTAGTCATCCGGTTGGGAACCGGATGATGGGCACGGTTACAACATGGAAGCTTACAGTTAGAAGCGTGATGTGTTGGTTCCTAGATTTACTGGATATTTGTATTTCAAAACGAAATAGATGGAACATCATAAATAGATCCGGATAATATCCACTAGTACTACTTAAGCACTACTACTGGTATTGTTACTACGTAGTATACATTTTCGGACGTCTAGTTTATCCGGATACGGTAGTTCAAATCATGCGAGTGCAACAGATTTGTAAACCTATTGATCATCATGATGGGACTGTTTCGTGCGGCCATCTTCGTCGTGCTCGCCATGCTCCCGAGTTGCTCCGTGGGAGATATCCCTACGACAACACCTGGATTCACGTACAAAGACGGCCTGCCGCAAGCTCCCGTGCACCTGCAAGTGTTCATCGACCTGGTACTGTATTCAAACTTCTTCGTCCCCACGATGTCTTGGATCCTGTCTTAGTTGTGTCCATACAGCAAAGCAGCGTACCCCGCGCTGAAACAACTCCGCGATACGTTTGAAGGCAAGGACTTCCGCCTTACGTTCCAAATGCTGCCCCTTCCCTTCCATCGCGACGCGTTCCTCGCTGCTCAGTCTACTTTGTCCGTGGTAAAATGATCATCCACATGTATATCACGTCGTCCGACATGTATACCGACATAGGTGCACTCAGTCGGCGTCTAGAGCTTCGTGCCGTGGCTGGAAACGATCTACGCCAACCAAGACAAGCTGTCCAACACCAACACCCTCAATACGACCTCCAACCAGAGGTTGGGAAAGAGTTATTCTTATTGGAATATATTCATTTAAATGAATAAAAAAAATTATTCTGAAATCCTTTCAAAAGAATAAATAATTAGTTTGCACTTCGAGAGAGAACAAGTATTGACCTGGACCTCTACAAAAAAATAAGTATTGAGTTTTGGAGAATTATTCTAACCTCCATTCAATTCAAAGTGCTGTAAACAAAGGCCATTCATTTCCGTGCAAATCGAATGCAACCACATCCATTAACTTCACACATAGTTACAATCAAACCAAACAAACACAATTCATTTTGATGTCCAACGACAACAACCAACCACCGCCCCTACGTGGAAAACAACTCGCCGAGCTGTAATTTACACGTACCTCACCTGAATCGACGCTTTGGCTCTGCAAATGTGGGAAGCGCCGCACACAAAACGGCACTGGGTACACGAATATGATGTCGCACATTGAGCGCGAACACCCCCGAGTACCTGAACTATGACGCTGCAGCCCCGATTTCGGAGCAGAATCTGTTCATGCCCCTGTTCTCGCGCAGAGTGCGGAACGTGTACGGCTGGCTGACCTGGATTACGTCATCGCTGTTGCTCTTCAACTTTTGTGAAAACGACATGGCTCGCCGCTACTCGAACCTTGGTCCCATCAGCAACAAGACGCTCATGAAACGGATGCACCAAATGTGTCGTTGGTTGGAAGCGAAGTGAACGCAGACCCTGCCCGAGTGTGTATTTGATGCCTGGACAAGTGGGTCGACATATTACGTGGCGGTCTTTGCGTCGTTCCCAAGTGATTCGTTGCGTGGATACGAGAAAGTGTTGCTCGCATTGTCGCCGATGAACGACGAAGAATCATTGAGTGCTACAGCCTTCCTGGAATTTTTCGACTTTGTCCTCGATGTGTACGGCGAACGGCGCCGAAATGTGGTGGTCCTGATCGGCGACAATTGTGCCACGAACCGTGCCTTTACTCGCTTGGCTGGCATCCCTATGGTGGGTTGTGCCTCTCATCGGTTCAACTTGTTCGTCAGTGATGTGCTAACGGACTATGAGGACCTGCTGTGTGCTTACATGCCATCATGAAGGAGCTGTCCAACATCATTCCTGCTGCCAAGCTTAGCCGAATGACACCATTGTGTCCCAAGCAGCGCAACAAGACACGATGAAGCTCATCGGTCGCCATATTGGTTCGATATGTCGAGCTCGAGTTGAAATCGTTCCTTTCCCAACTCGGGCTAGACGACATCGACATGCTACTGCTTAACGGTCGGCAAGATCGTGATGTGGAGCCGTTGATTGCCCAGATCACCGACTTGAACTCAGTGACGCTTGCGCTCCGGGACGAGTAGTTGATACTTGCCGACGTCCGCATGCTGTTTGACGAAGTCGTTGTCCAGTACCCTGGCGCTGAGGTTCGACTGGGGCCGAATGCAAGTGTCGTGGAAGACCCCACCTTTGAGTCTGCTATGGTGAAGGTGCTTCAGCACATGGAGGCGTAACTATGGTGATTGCTTTGTTGTCTACGCCGATATCCTCGATGGTGTGTATGTGGGTGACATGGACAGCATGAGTATCGCGGCCCGTGCGTTGAAGCTTCGCAAGTTGATGTAGGCCCGGAGCAACCCACCTCGATTGCCGTTTCCTTCGACCGACATCGAGCATGTGCGAGCGGCTGTTCTCTGTGACGCGGTAAGCGATGCCCGAACACCGTCGCAGTGTGCTGCCATCAAACTTTGAAGAGCAATTGTTCCTCCACTGCAATTTTTCCCTTTTGGGAAGCGAGGACATCAAGAGCGTCATGGAGGGTGAAACTGATGAGGTGGGTGTAGAGCCAAATTTGATCTAGTGTTCATTTTTGCATATAAATCAATACATATGCCTGTTCTTGGAGAGTGCAAAACTGGTCTCCACATCGCGTGTGGCGTTCTGTGGGCCGAGAAATAGCGATTTCATCGTTTTGCAAAGAAATCTCGAAACTCGTAACTGGAAAATTTAAAACAATGTTAATTGTAATTTTGTATGGAAATGCTCAAAAACCAATTTTTTTATACCCAATCACAGAGAAGAATAGTTATTGAGCCAATCATCGCATGGCAACAAACGTGTGATTCTCTACAAACGTATACTTGCTAGGGTTTGGGTTTTATGAGTATTTTGGCAACTTCATTGGATGAAAATTAGGTGCATTGATTCTCTGGGGGTTTTGAAGATTATTCAATATATTATTCACCCCACTAGTCTCGCCGAATAAGTTATTCACCGATGGTATAGAAAGAATAAGTAATTCTCTTCGTGGGTTGAAAAGAATAAGTTTCATTAACTGTAAATATATATATATATATTTGTCTACGATATGCAAGATATTACGATTGGGTTTCGATGGATATATATATCTTTTCATCTTTACCCTCCCTATACTGTATACAGTATACTCCCATACAGTATGTATGGCTCGTTTCAAGTTTCCAAGAAATTTATCGATACTTCTCCATACAACCATATATATATATATCGTACGAGTATTGCATGCTACTTCTACATACATGCATATATAGATATACTGTATATCGTGCTCATATTAAATATATATTCTACTGTAGGCATCGCCTGTACCCCAATGTATTACCTCAACGGTGTTCATTACGACAATGCTGACAGCGCCTGGAGTTTCAGCTGGTACGTTGATGCTCTTGCTACTTTATATGTTCCTTACATACTAGAATATATATATATATCCTGGATGATAATATATATTTAAAAATCACATGTATCTATTATGTGGCAAGGTTCGGTTCAATGTGATCAACCCCCTTGTCCAAGCCAACAAAGCCTCGCTACCCCGTCCAAGTACGTACAATAATCCAATGAATATCTATCTATATCATGTGCCTAATATTTGTTCAAAACCAAACAAGACTATAATATATATATTTCTTGGGTAACTAACTAGCTAACACGTAGACGTGATGTCGATGCATATGGAGCTTCCAGATCGCACTGTGCACTGCAACGCGGCGGTGTCCGTATGCGGAATCGCCGATGGCAAGACCATATGCTGTGACCAGGCGTCGGAAGTGTGCATTGTTCGTCGGGGATGCCTAAGTCAAGACAGGTTGACTGTGGCGTAGATGGAAGATATTCTGGTACTATTAATAGTACACCTTTTTTCTATTGAGTTGGGACTTTTTTCAACGTTGTTGGCTTGGCGCTCATTCGAAAGGGCGATGTGTCCATTCATTTGGCCTTGTGACCAATAGAATTGACACTTAGTGCCGCAACACACTTTGAAATGTACCATGCTACCAATGGAAATGACTCCACTACCCAACAATGTGCCAAGTAGCATTTCGAATCTGCCGTGCTTGAAGTTGAATTGGATCGAATATTCTAGAAGGTTGCAGTTGGGCGATCTTCGCGCCCATTTTTTTCACTTTTCAAAATCGCATTCCGTGCAACAATGGAGAACGCTGCACCACAGACACCAGTACGACGTCATCGCTCACGATACACTAACCATGCTCATAGCCACGCAAGAAATACAAACGCATCCCTTCGTCTGGAGTACTTCTACGG